GGGAGTGCTTGGTGATCATGATAAGCAGCCTTAAATTGTTGAAAAGTAACAGGAGATTTTATAAAATAATTTGCCCACTGTTGCGATATTGGTCTGGTGGATACTGGAAGGAGGGATGATAATCCCTACTAAGTGGAATCGTCAAACATCAGCTAATAAAATTCACATTAGAAATGAAGTTTACCTGATTCGAATAGATTCTTTTCCTAGAACCAAATTTATAAACAGCGCCAGCAGCGCCAACGGTAATGCAGACTGTAGCTAAGTTCAAGGACACCAGGATGACGTAAATTGGGATAGAGTAATAGAGATCAGCAAAGCAGTAATAAACAAGCAAGCCAAAATAAGCAATTAGCAGAATGGCCAGCTCGTTCCAGGCGCGCCTTACACAGTCTGCGAAGGACAACAAATACACGGCATTGCTGAATGTCATTATTAGCGATGCCCATTGCAGGATACTTCGATTGGTACATACCACGTAGAATGATACTGCTGCAATGTAACTCAGATCAGTGTTTCTTTCTAGATCCTACCAGGAAGTTTTTGTTTCGAAAGAAGCATCGATGCGATTTTTCTACCGCCTTTTCTGTGCTAGGTATATTTGATGCGTTTTTTTTTGACACGCAGGATGCAAAAATGCGAAAAATTTTATGCAGTGGGGCTAAAATTAAATCATAGACGGCCAAAAAAGATAGAAGAAATAAAGGACGAGCATTTTACTGGTTTGACGCAAAATTCGTGTGCTCCTATCTCTTCACATTCTGTGACACACTTTTGTACTAATATTGTACGTGAACATATCGCATAGTACACAGAGAGCAAGGAGCTGAGTAAATGAGTTTTAGTAAGAAACTCACTGAGTTTCGAAGCTCAAGGGTCTGCAACATTCTACTGCCTAAAAACACATCTAAATATCAACCTGTTTTATCATATTCCCCAGACAAGTCGACACTGGACCTCTTTCTAGCATAACAGAGATACTAATCTTGATATATATAAAAAAGAAATTATATTAAAATAATTCGAAAATTTGGAAAAAACATCTAGTACTTCGAAGATTTGTATATTTTTAGCTGCTTATTTATTATAATTTCTGGAATGGCGAACGAGAGGGGCGATTAGAAAAAAACGCAAATTTGTTCTTGAAAACTCAATGATAACGTAAGTATGAAGAACCAAACAGCACACACACCTTCAAGGAGGAGCCACAGCGCAGTGAGATATCGTCTTCTTTCCGGCATTGTAAGATTCAATGTGCAGAACGTAAGAGTCAAATATGGTATCGATCCGAGGAGCGGTGCTTGATGCCGAAATGCATCGCTTTCCATATAAGCTAACGCAACAAGTGCAAAATACAAGGCCAGTATTTGGGCTGGGCCCGAGAACAGGCCAACTGTCATCCTGAAAGTGATTCAAAAGCCAGAACTTGCAACCATCAGATTTTTTTAAACAAAAATGACAGTTTATTGTTCATTTATTGTTTCTAGGTTTTTTGCGTTATATAATAAGTTTTATTTTCTGAAAATAACAACGAAGGCGGTGCCGTAGAGGGAGGGATATAAACAACTAGACTGGCGCACAAAATATCAGTACGACCACGCCAGAAAGTAAAGCCAACAGAC